CCCCAAAACCCCAAAACCCCAAAACCCCAAAACCCCTTAGAATAACTATCTTGCTGAAAATGAAATGGTTTCTACAATTTTGTTTGGCTGATTTGTTTAATCATCTCGTCATCTCTGAACATAGCTTTAATCTTTGTCCCATCTTCTTGCTCTATTGTACCTTTGCCATGTAGCTTTCCTGCCTTAAAATTTCCAGTGTAAACAGCACCATTTGTAAGCTTAGCTACACCGTGTCCATGATAAAGATCATTCTGGAAAGCACCTAGGCAATTGTAACTCGTAATAAACTTCACAGAAGAAATTGGTTAAGAATAAAGAAAGATAAAGGCTCAAGATTTGAAATGAATGACTAAAATAGAGTTTAGTCATCTCTAGGATATCTTTTTAGAATTTTTAGGAATACTAAATCCAAAGTACAGGCAGTAAACAGATATTCCTACCTACTTTGGCCTGAAATCTTAGTCTTTCAAAATTTTTGTTCAGGCCAAAAGGAAAAACTTGTTTACAAGGTGAAATATCGCAGATTTAGAGGAATTTTAAGGAAATTTGAAGAGGTTTAAAGTGTTTGTGAGGGTTGAAGGAAGGAGAATTAGTAAACAAGATCTCAGAGAAGGAAGATCTTTATATGTGATGGACTTAGAGGTACCTTCATATTCAGAGCCATCTCGAGCTAATTCTGTTCCCATCCCATGTTTCTTTCCTTTAACCCAGTCTCCTGAATAGAAGCTGCCATCCTTCTGAGTAAACATTCCTAAATGTTTACACGAAGAATTACCTTTTCCATGAAATTTATTTTTATGAAACATTCCTTGATATACAGCACCTCCTGGAAGCTTAAGGACTCCTGGTCCCTCTAGGACATCCTGCTTGATCTTGCCTTTATAGACTGACCCATTTGGGAATAATATTTTTCCAGTGCCATGCATCTTTTGGGTATCTTTATCAACATCTCCTTCATATTCTAGTCCTTCAGTGTTAATCAAACATGTGGCTTTGGTCTGGGAATCATCTGTGTGAGATGCTTAAGGATTTTAATGAAAATTAGTTTGAATAAAAGCTACTGTTCTTGAGGGTTTTCACTGGAATTTAACCGCCAGAACTCTTTTCACAAAATCTTACCATTCTCTAGTCTATGATTATCTGAATTAGAGTTGCCAACTGGGCTATTGGATGATCTGAGGTCTTTGTCTTCGTTTAAAGAATTGTGTTTAGAGTGTGAGATCACTCTTTTCTCAGCGTTACCAGAGTTCATCAATGAGGTTACTTGCCTCACTAAAGTTGCAGATTTTGCCTTTGCTTTATTGTCGAGTGCTTGGCTTTTAGCCTTTTTAGCCTTTTTAGCCTTTTTAGCCTTTTTATTTTTATTTACTTTTGCCTTTATTTTTACCTTTGAGATCAAAGTGTTTCGAATCAGGATCTTGATTCTTTTTCTTTTTGCCTAAATCTATTTCTGCTTTTTTATCGTCCTCTTCACTATGGCATCAACCCATTTTCCTGTAGAAATTTGATTAAAATGGCAATAACATGAAAAAACTCCCAAAAAATAGCTAAGAAGATACCCCCATCCCTTCCACCCCAATCTCCCTTCCTCGGCTGCTGGCGACCAGAAGGACTCAGAAGAAGCTTACAAGCTCAGGTTCAATTTTATTTAAGATATTTGGGGTTTTGGGGTTTTGGGGTTTTGGGGTTTTGGGG